CCGTCGTCTTCTGGTGAAACCGACCTTCGAATCTCTTCACCAAACACTTCTACTCGAAATGGAAGTAATCTCAACAATTATGAAACAAAAGATTCCTCGAAACCCAACTTTTCTTCGTATATTTAATACGACGTTCATGAGGTCCACGAAACCTTCCTCGTTTAGGGTGAAAACTGGCTAAACTTTCGTCCATCATATGATGGACATCATCAGAGCTGGATGTAATTCTTGTAAAAGTATCACGTTAACACTAAGACAAGAAGACTATCCGGCTCTATCATACCTCTTATACAGACTAAATTAAGCAAAAGAAAATTAAAAACGTAGATAGATAGATATAGAGTGGTTTGGCCAAATATCTTTCATACCAGTCCTGCTACTTTTTCTCGAGTGTGTGCGTGTGTGTATGCGTGTGTGTTAGCGCCTATATGCCATACCGGTCCTAAAAAAGAGTTATCGAAAGGCTAATGTCAGGCTCTGATCATCAAGGCCTAGGGATTCAAGAGAAAGCCCTGATCGAGACTGCGTATGTCTGTAAGCAAGTATAGTTGAGATAATGAGATATGAGGTTGTGAGCATGTAAGTCAGGTTAGGAAACCACTTGTCCTAACCTCTCAGTCTAGGGTCATTAACGTTTAACTCCCGAAGGAAAGGGTCTGCGTAATCTGGCACGTGTGGTTTGGTCGATGAGCTTAATCTAACATGTTGGAAGAGTGTGAGTGAAGTAAAAACCATAACCGAGCAGACCATTTGAGTCGCCAGTAAAATAGATACATGAGTCTCGAAAACCTACTCATTTACGATAAAAGTTATGTCGTCTATTGCTACAGCAAACATACGTTTACTTCATCGACAATCCCATCAAAGAATGCGATATGGAAAAAAACATGGCCTTCTTTGAAATGCACATCTGTTCTATGACCCAATGGCACTTGTGGTAATGTGGCGGAGTGTTTAACGTGTCAAGCTCACATCCTATACTGTCACGGTTCGACTCCCACTGGGGTTGTTGATAAGAAGCTGCAGTCCACTCCTGCCTGGATGAGAACACCTTTTAGGAAAGCAAGGCTATGTGAAATTCAATGAAAAACATCAGCTTTACTCATATCATTG